GGGGGGGGGGGGGGGTGATTTAGAAGACGCTGTCAACGGAACGACAGGGAGGGTGAAGGAAGGGCAAAATCGTTCCGTGTTTTTTTTTCCGTTTGTTGGCCAACACCATCAGCACCCGTAGCAACAGCGACCACGACAACAACATCCGGCAACTCCATAAGAGGATTGCTCGCCTCATAGCCCTCCTGCTCCATCGCACGGCAGCTGTCCAAGACGCACTTGTGCTCCGTTTGCGTGGTGATGATGTGCTTCTTGCGACCCTTGTAGAACCGCGCCACCCCCTTGATGGACATGTTGTTCGACTCCGTCGCCCCCGAAGTGAAAATAATCTGCAATTCATGACGTCATCCGAACAAAAAACAAAACCAAGAACGGTGTAGAGGGCGGGCGTCCAAAACCGCACCAGCGTAAAGTCCAAGGCATGGATGAAGCGTGACCCTATGGGGGCACATCGGCTGTTGAGTTAGAGCCGGCGGGAGGAGGGGGGGGCGAAGCAGCCAAGGCGCACAGCAGCGCACACAACACAACGACCGCAAATTGTATTCGCTTCAAATCCGTGAAAAGAAAACGGCTCGTGTAGAGCGCCACGTGACTCCAGCAAGCAGATGGGCACCACGTGACGCACCCCGACCGGCCTCTATGGACTCCTCCCTCCCTCCCTCCCTCCAAGCCACCACCGCCCCGTTCGTCGCCGAACGAGGCCATTTCCAGTGCGCACCGCTGTCTCCGCGATGTACCACATGTTTTCCGCACCCTTTCCCGTTTGCCACCAGCTCAAAAAAAAATGTATCACCATAGTACCTGCTTCGTTCCCGCACTCCCTTCCCAATACTCCCAGCTAACACAAATATATATATTACCAAAGTACTCATCACGCACACAAACGATTCCGTGCGCGGCCCCCGCCCGTACCTCCTTGGGAGAGGCCCCGATAAGATTGGCGACCTGCTCCCTGGCCTTCTCGACGACGGCCTCGCTCTCCCACCCGTAGGCGTGCGTCCTCGAGTGGGGATTACCGTAGCGCTCTAGCTGGTACTCCATCATGGCGTCCAGGGCACGCGGGTCCATCGGCGTCGTCGCCTGCATGTCCTGTTTGCTCGCAACAGCAGCAGCAGCAGCAGCAGCAGCAGCAGCAGCAGCAGCAGTACGCGGAAGAACGCAGGGAGGGGCAAGCTTCGGACCAGCCGCCGTGCATTGTGGCGTGTGGATGGGTATGTATGTATGTGCGCGCATTTCGTCGGACTAGAACCATGTGTGGTGGTGGTGGTGGTGGTGGGTTTTGGTGTGCGAAGCCATGACGCGAGTGCACGTAAAACAAACGGTTTTTCCCGTGTGCGATCGGCTTTGATGTTGTTGGGCGACAAAAAAACGACTCTGACGTATAGCAGCACGAGACGGCCGCTTCTTTTGGAACGGTCGATTTCGGAGATGAAAAGCCACAAAAGAAGGGGTGCGTAGGCAAGTCAGTCCCTCGCTCACCAGGTAGGACGCCCTCCCCGCCAACGCCTGCCCCTTGATGCTGAAGCCCGGGGAGAATATCTCGTCGCTGCCCATGGCCGACAGCACCTCGTCGGGCACCTTGTTGGCCGGCGTGTACCGCTTGTCCTGCTTCATCTTGTCGAAGGAGGTGCTGCTGACGGGAGTGCTGGTGCCTGTTGCCCGCGCGGTGTCGGGGGGGGGGGGGGGGGGGGTTGTCAAGCCAACGAGACAGGGGTGGCAAGACGGGAGAGAACGCAGTCAACAAGTCAACAACACCCCGACATACTGCTGTCGAATAGAAGTTCTTGTCCAAAACAAGCTGAGGACCGAACACAAAACGTGACCGCTGCTGTGGTTTGCCCACGTCTGCAACGTCTCCCACAGATTGCTAACTAACCCTTTCGAGGGTCCAGCGGTTTCAACCGCAAGTCCCGCTGTAGACGCGTTCGTGCACTTGTCTTACGTCGGCAAGAACCTCCGCCCCCGTTAGAAGGCGTGCGTAGACGGGGTTGGCATGGGCGCAACAACGGAAGAATGGCGGGCGGCGAGGTCTGTTCGTGTCCGCTCGTGACTCGTGGGGTGCGAGCGAGTGCGTTGTGCGTGCGTCTGCGCTAACGGCCCGCACTGCCGCCATCTCCGACCGTGAACCTCACCGAGCGAAACGAGGGTGACCACGCTGGAAAAAAGAGAAGGTAGAGTGGAGTGAAAAATACTCGGAATCGTCGATTTTGCTGTGTGTATACAATATGTAGTATAAACTTGTAAACATCAGCTGATGAAAATACGGGGTGGACGCACCGTAAGAGATGGATATATATTGCCCCCCCAAAAGGGGGTGCGAAATCAGACCACTCCCGACACGCAACAATTTACAAGGGCTCTCCACGAGATCTTTCCCGGAAAGACTCTTCCTTGGGCGGCATTGGCAGCCTCTTGGTTGTGGAGGAATCGAGCTTCAATATCGATAGCACCACTGCTGTGCGTTCCCCGCACTTGTTACGGCACACGTTCCACTTCCCAAACGCGCCGGGCTCTAACAAGCACGGCGGCACAGCACTACGTGTACGTAATGCCGTCTTGGGTATTACACATGCGTGCATATGTCTATCATGACATGATGACGCCGCTATAATGTTGCCAACTGCAAATATAAAAAGCATTCAAAGTATGGCTGTGAGACGACACACAGTTTCGTAGTTGAGCACGCTGAGGTTGCTCCCTCCAGTCTGCTCCTTCTGTGCGTCCCAATCGGTCACCCGCTGCTACTGCTGCTGCTGCTGCTGCTGCTGCTGCTGCTGCTGCTGCTGCTGCTGCTGCTGCTACGCTTCTGCGGCTGAAATCAACGTTTGGCGGCACCGACGAAGGGGACAGCACGCAGTAAAGCCACCACATCTGTACGGTCATGCCCTTCTCTCTCTACTCCGACACGATTGCGGAAACGCGGAAGCGATTGATTGGTGCCAACCGGCCTTCGTCGAGACATTTCCGCAAGCAACGGCAAATAAAAACGCGAGCTACAGCAGTACCGCAGTACCAAAGCCGCAGAGCAGTATGGATAGCTCTGTTGCTTAACGGCAGCAGCGGCAAGTTGCACTTGGTTTTTACGCCGCAGGTCACGAGCTGCTGCAGGGAAGTATCAGGGGGGTTCACGCCAGGCACAAGCATAGGCACGTGCATATGGATGCGGCAGGTAGGCCTAGGTCTGGGAACCTGGCGACTCTACACACCCTGCTGCTGCTGCGAAAGGACCTGATTTCTGCACCTGGGGACAGCATCAGCACACAGACGATGACTAAAAAAAAACGCACCGCTCGACATGCTTCGGCAATATTGAAGGCTCGCTGCCGCAGAGGACCATGTCCTCGTCCTGACACACCCGGACGTCTTCCCTGCACGAAGAAGCATGATGTCTACCTGCTGCTGCTGCTCTCCACTGCTGCGACACCGACGCTGCTGGCGTCCGTCGTGGTCGACTGCGGTGGTTTCCGATGCGAGCCCCCCCATACCCCCCCATACCACAAAAATGTATTTTTTCCAAGTAACCACCCGCCCTGTTCAATGTTGAACATCAAGCCATGTGCGGGTGCCCCTTCCGTAGACCACCGTAGACCACCATGTCGCACAACCTAACTGCATATTAACACCGACAGAACATGCTACCCACCATGTCTCAGGCAGCCCGTGTCGTGTCTACTGCAGCGGCAAAGTCTCGTGGGAAAGGCCTGCTTGGTCGCCACCTGGCGGCGCTCCATGGCAGCAGGCGGGCGATGGCGAGCACTTCGGACGACTACTTGATCCTAGAACAAAGGTGAGAAAACACAGAGCAAATTATCGATGATATCTTACACGCGGCTTCAGCACCCCCAACATGTCTACCAACGGATGGGCGGTAGGCTAGAGGTCCGGAAGGATTGGTGGTGTGCGGATTAATGAGAACTCTGGTCTCTCGGGTAGGGCGGACCGCTCCCGTTAGAAATAGAAATACCGAACTATGTCTAGAGGTGTTTCTGATCATGCTGTAACGGTCTCTTCTATGCGAGAAGTGGGAGCTCTTTTCGAGAACAACGATCGAAAGCCTTTGTACCACAGTACGCTGTTCGTTGTGCACACACACGCGATACGGCTGCGGCCCAGGAAGACCGGGTGCCCGGGAGCTGTGCTGCGAAGCAACGATCAACAACATTTTACTTTAGAGCTGAAAAGCCGTGTGTACTCACTTCCTGCCCGGCTGAATTTTTGTTACGAAACAACGTGCTGCGCTGGCTCTTTTACATACACCACCTTCATCGTTGAGCATGCATCCTCTCCGCGGACCGCAACTCCTTTGTATATCAACTTGCGCCTGTACGTGTTTGTTGCTTTTTATCTTTGCCTCCTTGCCAATCGACGCTGGCTGCCTGCTTCTTTCGTGCCGTGGCGCTTCTGCCGGACGCGACAATAAATATAATTATTGGGTTGCCCAATAAAGGTACAACGCCCACAACTACCACCCCCTCCCGGTGGTCCTCAGCAAGGGAAAGGGCGTGATGGTGTGGGACGTCGAGGGGAAGCAGTACTTCGACTGGCTCAGCGCCTACTCCGCGGTGAACCAGGTGAGGCCTATAGGTGGTATGTAGGTAGCACACAAATGCCGCCGACTGTATTTTGTTGTTTGCAAGACACGTGCCGAAGTTTGGCCATCACGCCCACCCGCCCGCGCTCTGCGTCTTTCGACCGCGGCTGATCAATGAGAGGACGTCAGTCCTGTAGCGGGATTAAAAATACGACGACTTTCTAGTGATAGGCGTTGCCGGCAGGGGGGGGGGGCGCAAGAAATGGACGACAGAGTCCTTCTTCTGAAGTACCAATACTAATATCAGACAGCATTGTTGCTGCATCATGTACTTGTAGCCTCTCTCTCTCTCTCTCTCTCTCTCTCTCTCTCTCTCTCTCTCTCTCTCTCTCTCTCTCTCTCTCTCTCTCTCTCTCTCTCTCTCTCTCTCTCTCTCTCTCTCTCTCTCTCTCTCTCTCGCCTTCTCTCTCTTTTCTCTCTCTCTGGTCGTCACTATCGCCAGTAGTATCGCTCTCTCTCTTTCTTGTGACAGTCATTGAGCTCAAAAGTGGGGTTTGTTGTTCTCCGGAAGAAGCGGTGCGTGTTGGCTCGACGGCCGAGAAACTGATGCCCAAAAAAACAAGTCAAACATGTACATCCCATCCCCCCTTTCCTCACCGTGCACCTATAGAAGCCGAAATCAAAGACTAGTCAACGCTGACCAGCCTCATCATGGCTTGATTCCGGCTCCTAAAACCTCTTGAGGCACAAAGGCATGTCAATCTTAGTAGTATTCTCGTGCACAACGTGCTCTGGAAGTGCCCAGGGCGCAAAAAGCTATCATGTCGTTAGAAGCCATTTTTGTATCATCCATCGTGAGCGCAAAGCACCGGCGGCCGGCGGCCTCACGCCAGCTTCGCGAGCGGTTGTTGTTGGGGGGGGGGGGTTGTAGACACCGTGTTCCCGCCCGCGGGGACTCCGCTGAACACCTCACACCCCGATGCGATGATTTTCGCGCCAGGCGTAATGCTAGGGCCGGCCTTATCGGGGAGTACCCGACGTGGTGCCTTAGCTCCCCGTCTGGGGACGGACGCGAGGTCCTTCGGTTTACGGCCGGGAGACCACCGTCATGCATGATAAATAAGGCGTACCCTACAGCAGGCACACTTGCTACTACACAACTGCACCAGTGCTTCCTTCCACCAACATCGCATGCATGTTGTTTTGTGCGCGTCGTCTGACACAATGTATATCGTTTGGGAACTCGTGTTCCCTCTCAACACGAACGAAAATCCCCTCGAACCCCCCCCCCCCCACACCCACCCACCCACCCACCCACCCGATTTCCATGCCCCGTGCCCTCTATCAGGGACATTGCCACCCCAAGATCGTGGGGGCCTTGGTGGACCAGGCGCAGAAGCTCACCCTTGCGTCTCGTGCCTTCTCCACCGACTGCCTCGGAGAATTCGCCCTTTACGTGACCGCCTACTTCGGCTACGACCGCATCCTGCCGATGGTGGGTGGTGCGCTTGTTGTTGTTGTTGTTGTTGTTGCTTTTCTTTTTTTTTTTGTTAGATACTGTGGCCTCGAAACGGGTGGTCTTTCTGTGATTACAGGTGTACCAGTGTTTTCTAATAGTATTCCGTGGTACGCAGTATCACCGAAAGACTCCTGTTCCCGTTCGAGATAATGCCACAGCAGCCGAAGGGCATGTGTTAATTGAAAGGCTTAGCGAAGAGTTGGTGTAGAAAGCCTGCTGGATACTGGGCCGGGTTTGTTGCGTTACGAGCTGCCCCCAAAGTGAAACCCACGGCCGTGCGGCGGGGCTCTTCCGGCCCTGCTTCCTTTCTTTTGTCTCAGTTCGCCAACTTGACCGTGTTTGGTTCTGTTTCTGTTTCTTTTGTTGTTTAGGCAGGTACGGTAGGCCTGTGTGTGTGTGCCCGGCCCGCCTCGTAGGCGGGATGCACTGCTGCTATGGTCGCGTTGAGGTGCTCCAAGTGTTTGCAACTCTGTGTTGGGTTCTCAACGATTGTTGTAATCGTTGTTGTTGTTGTTGTTGTTGTTGTTGTTGTTGTTTTGTGGGTGCAGCGATATGCGTGGAGAGATCACGAACGAATGGATAAGAAGGAAACGATGGAACGGAAGGGTAAGAAGGAAGCAATGGAACGGAAGATAAGAAGGAAACAATGGCACCAATGGGTGGAGAACGCCTCCCTCGGATGGGTGTGAGAGAACGGCTCTCAGGGTAGCTCTGGCCCCACTTGGAATTTTTCTAATGCTGTTGCGGTCGTCGTTGCTTGCTGCTGCTGCTGCTGCTGCTGCTGCTCCTGCTGCTCCTGCTCCTGCTGCCGTGGTCGTCGTAATTTAACTGCGGCGGCCGCTGCTGATCCTGTTTGTTGCCTGTGCTCGGCTTGAACGTTCTCTCGTCTCTCGCGACATGGCCAGAACACTGGAGTCGAGGGGGGAGAGACAGCCATCAAGCTCGCGAGGAGATGGGGCTACGACGTCAAGGGCGTCGAGGAGGTAATGGTGGACAAGACGAGACAGGCGTAGCGACAAATGCCCTTCTCTTGAACTACATGTACCTCTGTTTGGTAGGACCGGGAATGCGTGCAAAGGGCTCCCGTAAACAATCAAGCTTCTCATGTTCTCAGGCAGCTCAGCTCTGGTCTTCGTTCCGCTGCTGCTGCAGCAGTCAGTGGTGTTGCATTCCTAAAGCGGCCGCGGTTGCCGACACGGTTCTCGGTGGCCCCTCACAAGATGCCTTATGGTCTACAAGCACCAATTGTTTTTCCTTCTGATGTTGTTGTTGCCAACATGTCGCCAAACGCTTGTTGCTCTTCCCCCAGGACAAGGCTCACGTGCGTTTTTTTCCCGTCAAATGAACGCGTGTACATACGTGTTCCCTCCAGAACAAGGCTCACGTGGTGTTCGCGGAGAATAATTTCTGGGGAAGAACCTTAGCGGCGGTGAGCTCGTCCACCGACCCGGAGAGCTACAACGGCTACGGGCCGTACATGCCCGGGTTTTCGACGGTAAGCCTGACGGCGGGCGGGGTGGAGTGAAGGGGGGCGCTTTAGAAAGCCGAATCAAACCATTAGACTAGACTAGTCAGCGCTAACGGTTTGATTCCGGCTTCTAAAGGGTGTACGAGTGTTTTGCATGCCTCGGCGGTTGGACCACTGACCGCGCGTCCTCGAGAAGACGGAACATTGTTCCAGCAGGACCGATCACCGATCGCCAATCTTTCCTTCCCACGTTGCTGAAAATGTTGTTTTCCCTAGCTCACCTTTCTGTCCGATCGATATCACTTCCCGGCCGGGGAAGGGGGAGAAGAATATGGATTCTTTTTTGTGTGTGTGTGTTGATTTGAACTCGGTTGGTATTTTGCCGTGGACGACGACGCATTATTCATTCATTGCCCAGACGGAGGATCGCCAGCTCCCACACCCGTTGGGTATTCTGCTACTGCTGCGTCCGTTATCTTGTGGGAGGGTCCCGAGAGCACTCTCTCTGCTGTTCGTTTTTAGTTGTTGCTGAAACAAAACAAGTTCATCACATAAAGAGGCAATTTAGCGATGAAATATTCATGGTGCTGCTTTTTGTTCCGTTCTGTTTGTGTGTGTGTGTTATTTTATTCAGGTGCCATACAACGACGTGGCGGCGCTGGAAAAGCGTCTTGCGAGCAACCCCAACACGGTGGCCTTCATGGTGGAGCCCATCCAGGGGGAGGCCGGCGTCGTGGTCCCGGACGACGGTTACATGGCCAAGGTTGAACAACTAATTGCACCGCATTGTTGAATAGTTCCGCCGCTTATTGATGGATCGATACATTCACCCATCCAGGGAGAGGCCGGCGTCGTGGTCCCGGACGGCAGTTACATGGCCAAGGTTCAATAATTTATTGCACCGCGTTTTGTTGAATAGTTCCTCCGCTCATGGATGGATGGATATTTCACCCGCCCATGGGGAGGCCGGCGTCATGGTCCCGGACGACGGTTACTCGGCCAAGGTTGAACATTGATTGCACAGCTCCCTTTTAATTGATTCCGCCGCTCGTTGATGTTTTTATCACGCGGCTCTTGGGTTGTATTGTGCGATTATCCGCCGCTCGTTGATGGGTGGAGATTGAACCAATCCACACCTGCTGCGAAGACTTAGCTCCTGTTCGCCCGTTGGGCCTGATCTACTCAGCACCTCAGTCACCCCTCCCACGCGCGCGCCCTCCGCGCCTCTCTTGACCCTGCCTGGGTTCGTTCGCGTAGAAGTGGGCGGGGGCCGGGGCGGGAATAGGGGTGGGGTGGCTGACCTAGTGACACCGTATCTACCAATAACAACGGACGGTAGATTGGGTAGAAAACAAGCTGCGGAAGGGATGCATTGCTAGCATGTTAGGTCCATATCCCCCTACCTCCCTGGCTCACGCCATGTACCACTGCTGTTGTCGTTGCCCCTTTCTACTACTACTTCGACTACTACTACCACTACCACTTAACAGTATTCACAATTCTGCCGAACCTCGTACAAAGTACGTATGTGTGAACGCATCCCTTTGCTTCAGCAGGTGCGCGACGTTTTTGTTTCCCGCGCCTTCGCGCTGTGTCTGCCGTGTTTTCAACGTGCCGAAACGAATGCCCACGTACATACCCGCCCGCAGGTGCACGAGGTCTGCCGGCGACACAAGGTGCTGCTGATCGCTGACGAGGTTCAGACGGGGCTGTGCCGGGCGGGCACCGACCTCGCGTGCGACCACGACGGCGTCAGGCCTGACATTCTGGTGGGGTTTCGGCGATTATTCGGTGCCATGTTGTGTGTGCTGTGTAGCACGTAGCCCGCCCTCCCCCTCCCCATCCGTCCCGGCTTTGTAGGCATGCGTTTGTTTGATTATACCGCCCCCCCCCCCCCCCCCCTTACCCCGGGGGTTTGGTTTTTCCCCCTTTCCCCACAACCCTTAAAAAAAAGCCCCCCCCCCGGGGTTTGTCAAACGGGGTTGGGTTTTTTTTT